TAAATGTCTATTTATTAACAAATTATAAAATTATAAATTTTATTTGTGTAAATACATTAAATATGCATCAATATTTTATTTTGTTCAATTAGGTATTTAAGAACATGTCAGACATAAATGAGTTCATATGTATAGAATGTGAGAAAAAGTTTAAATTTTTAAAAAACTTAAGATCTCACATAAAAACAAATCATCCTCTTTTAAAGTTGGATGAAATAGCACCAACAAAAAAACAGAAAAAAAGTGATTTGTATATATTTACATGTGACCAGTGTACAAAGTCATATTGTCATCAAAAAAATTTAATTGAACACAAATAAGTTGCTCATTCAATTACTCCAACAATTGAAATTATAGTCCAATGTGCCATGTGTTTATTTACTGCCCCATACAAAAATATGAATATACATTACGAATTAGATCATAATATTTTGCAAAGTGTAGATAGTTTTGAATTTGAAAGCATTGTTGGTTTTAACAGTTGGAAACATGAAATTGAACTATCCACACAGACATTGTATGTCAAAAACTTTGGTTCATCTGAAAAAGGAAATCAAATTTACAGTTATTACAAATGCCACAGAAGTGGTTTCTATAATTCAAAAAGTACAGGTCAACGTCATATAAAAACACAGGGTTCTAACAAAATAAATGGGTACTGTCCAGCTAGCATTAATGTTATAGAGTCAAAGGTTACTAAAAGATGTAATGTTAAATTTAATAGCAACCATATTGGTCATGAAAATGAAATAGGACACTTGCCTTTAAATAGATGTACTAGAGATGATATAGCATCTAAAATATCATAAAATATTCCTTTTGATAGAATTTTGGACGAAATTCGTGATAATATTTCCAACAATCTTTTAGAAAGAACTCATTTTCTTACTAAGAAAGATTTATATAATATTGAAGCTTCATATAATCTCAATAATGAGGCAGTACATCATTCGAATGACGCTACAAGTGTTGGAGCATGGGTTGAAAAATTAAAATCTGATGACAAATTAAGCCTTGTTTATTACAAGTCACAAGGTCAAATTGACACAAATTATATAGAACTTAAAGAAGTTTATTTTTTATTGCTCATAATGAACGACTATCAAAAATCCATGTTAAACAAATTTGGAAATGATGTTATTTGTATCGATGAAACGCATGGGATGAATTCGTATCATTTTAATTTGACAACAATCATGGTTCTTGATGATTTAAGAGAAGGATTTCCATGCTCTTTTATGATTAGTAATAGAGTTGATGAAGCGGTATTAAGAATATTTTTTGCTGAGATAAGGGACAAAACCGGTATTATTCAGCCCAATGTCTTCATGTCAGATATGGCTGAAAGTTTTTATAATGCTTGGGTTGTTGAAATGAAACCAGCAAAACATAGGCTCTATTGTACATGGCATGTAGATCGTGCCTGGAGAAAAAATTTAAATAAAATTAAAATCAAAACAAAACAGGTGGAAATATATAAAGTATTGCGTACATTACTTCAAGAACAAGATGCTGAAGCCTTTAGTAGAATGTTTGACAATGCTATAAATCGAATGGCAAAAGATGATGAAACTATGCATTTCTCAAACTATTTTATTAGTTATTATGCTCCATCTGTGCAGTTATGGGCTTATTGCCACAGACTAAATTCTGGAATAAACACAAATATGCATATTGAAAGAATGCATCGGACACTAAAACACATATACTTACAAGGCAAAAAGGTGAAGCGACTTGATAAATCTCTGCATG